AAGAGAGGAACTTTTGAATGTGAGGTCTTTGATGCAGATTATGCGCAAATAGTAATCTTATGCCAGGATTGCTGAATATTTGAGCCCCAGTACATTCAACACCCTCATGCATTTGTATCACTCGAAATGAACTTGACATATTAACGAGCATTAACAGGCAGAATTTTCGTCACTAAGTAATATTTATCTACCAGAAAACTCAACAAAAGGGTAATTCAAGCAATTTTAGGGACGTGTATATGCTACATTACGGGGCCTAGTTGTATGGAAAAATAGCAGAGGAACAAGTTTTCATGTGTGATAGACTTCTACATTAAGACTTGATGACCCATTTTTGTCTTCTGCAACCTGATTTCTAGTGCATCTGTTTCATTTTCTATGTAATTATGCGTTATCAGCTGTCCAGTCAATGTCCAAGGGGTGAATGCGGAGAACAAACCAGTGTATCACCTTCCTCTACCCAATAATGAGGCATTAGATTTTCTCACCGATAGCAACTTACAATCATTCATAGTAATTATGTGCGAGTCTATCTCAGAGAGCACGCACGTCATGTATTTCAGTCCACCTCACCCAGCACGATGATGGCGTAATTCGACCAAATGCCTATGACCACATCCACCTCCCACTCTGTCCCGATTTTATTGTTTGCCTACACAGCCGATCTCACGTCACCGTCTTGTTTAGTTTATGGACTTTTCCAACTCAGGGTCAATTATGAGGCCTTTCACGTTCTACACTTTCAGTGTACGCTTCCGTCCACCCACCAGCACAGTCACGTGAACATCACCCATGCTTAAGCTCATTTCACACCTTCTTCTCCAGAGAAACCACCATTTATTGGCATATTTAATTATAATTCCAAACTGGATAATAGTTCTCTCAAATGCATATGGAAAGCAGTTTTATGAAAAAATATGTTTCATTGGGCCATCGGAAAAAATCAATCGACAATCAGGGTCAAGTTTCGGATAATTTTGGACGTATTATTGTGACCTCAAGGGGTAAACGCAATCCACTTTGATTTGTCAGAGGGTACAATGTGCCGCATGACATATGCTGCCTGTCCCGACACCCTACTGAATTAAAATCTAATGCATTTGGGAGTGCGGTTTGCCACAAAATAAATCAGGTCGCTTACATCCCAACTGAATTGGTAGACACCATCGTAGGTACCTATAATTTTAGAGATTTACATTACTACCACTGCATTAGTCGTGGTACTCTTTCTATGCCTCTAGGATGCAGATCTGCTACCCAGTGTGTTACTGTGCGTGTTATTGCCTTGAATCCCGTTAGCTCTGGGTCGCATTGACTGAAAAAGGCCCCAAACATTTAAATTAAGCTCAATTTTTAACGCAGCGCGGTGTCTTGGGCAAACTATTCGGTAGTAGAGCTAACCCAGAAGTTGTTTTAATTTCACAGCAGAATACCGACACTACTGAATGATGCTCGGTAGACATTTTCTTGCAAAATCGGGCGTGCTTACACTCTGAACTAGGAATGCTCCGTTAATTTCAACTCATCTTCTGTCAATACCTCCAACTCCTTAACTTTTCCAACTGTCTATCATCCAAAATAACTGGACAGATCTAAGGCAACCGGTAGAGAAAAAATATAGTGCAGATCGATTTGTGAGTAGTCTATAATTCTGCTCCATTCAAAGCTGGTTCCAAATGCCTTCAATGTCGAATGATTCAACTACTCTTCCGCCTATCTACTTGCTGCAATCAGGAAAAGAATCGCAAACAGCCCCAAGCTTTAACTACCTTCTTGACCTCATCTACATTCGTCGTTGTCCTATTCCTCACTACGCCGAGCTTGACCATCTTAACCTCCTAGACATCTCCTGTGCCAAGGTGGTCACTGTGTGAAACATTCAACAGTGAGGCAAAGATGACTTCCAACTCTTCCATATCCATCATCGCCACATCTAATTTATTTACTCGTTTCCTTAATCACCCTCCCTGATACATACCGGCCTATCCGTCCACAGGTCCACCCACCCAACCGTTACTCATCCTGGCATAGTTCGCGGTATAATTACTCTTCCATACGGACGGATGGGATGAAGTGAGGTGAAATACGATGAGAAGTGACTAGATGAGAAGGTTTTCCCTTCAGACACAGAATTTACAAATTCGTTAGTAGCCTTAGGCTACAACAGCCAAAATACTTGTCGAATGGCGAGAAGGCGTGTATTCTGCTTACGATTCTCCTTCTTCTGCTCTCACCTTTACTTGCGCTTCTGCCACAAAATGTGCTTGTGCTTGTGCTTCAAA